GGTCATTTAAAATAATGAGAAACCAATATGAAAAGATGTCCAATTTATACTGTTAAGTGATAAAGGCAAGTTGTGTAAGAGTAGTATAGTAAGAAGTGATTTTTTTAAAATATATTATATTGATTTTTACAGAGAGGAAGTGAGAGGGATAGAGAGTCAGAAACATCGACGAGAGAGAAACATCGATCAGCTGCCTCCTGCACACTCCCCACTGGGGATGTGCCCACAACCAAGGTACATGCCCTTGACCAGAATCGAACCTGGGACCCTTGAGTCCGCAGGCCGACGCTCTATCCGCTGAGCCAAACCGATTAGGGCAGAAGTGATTTTTATAAGACATAAATGTTAGTATATGTACAGAAAAATATCTAGGACACCATATGCCTAAACATCCTATATAATAAAAGGGTAATATGCAAATAGACCGAACAGCAGAACAACCAACCAACCAAAGGGTAATATGCTAATGATATGCTAAGGCTGCTCAACCGCTCGCTATGACATGCACTGACCACCAGGGGGCAGACAGTTGACCACTCGCTATGGTGTGCACTGACCACCAAGGGGCAAATGCTCCAACCAGTAGGTTAGCTTGCTGCTGGGGTCTGGCCGATTGGGACTGAGTGAGACAGGCCGGACACGCCCTGGAACCCTCCTGAGGTCCCTCCCCAGCTGGCCAACCTCCCACGTCCCTCCCTGGCCCCGATCATGCACTGGTGGGGTAACTCGGCCTGGCCTGCGCCCTCTCACAATCCGGGACCCCTCGGGGGATGTTGGCGAGCTGGTTTCAGCCCGATCCAGCAGGCCACTCCCCTTGAGAGGGTGCCAGATGCAGGGCTCATGGCTGACGAGCACTGTGGCGCCAACGCGAGCCTCTACCGATCGGGACTGATTGGGCCTGTGGGTTTCGGCCCAATCCCTGCAGGCCACCCAGAGGGACCCCACCCGTGCACAAATTCGTGCACTGGGCCTCTAGTTTATCAATGGTTACCTCTGTAAGTGGGATTACATTTCTACATTATACATTTTATATTGTTTTTATTTTATTGATTTTTTACAGAGAGGAAGGGAGAGAGATAGAGAGTTAGAAACAGCCTCTACTGATCGGGACTGATTGGGCCTGTGGGTTTCGGCCCAATCCCTGCAGGCCACCCAGAGGGACCCCACCCATGCACAAATTCGTGCACTGGGCCTCTAGTTTATCAATGGTTACCTCTGTAAGTGGGATTACATTTCTACATTATACATTTTATATTGTTTTCATTTTTACCATGAGCATTTATTACCTTTGTAATAATTAAAAAAACACACCTGCCCGGCGTAGCTCAGTGGTTGAGCATCGACCTATGAACCAGAAGGTAATGGTTCAATTCCCAGGCAGGGCACATGCCCAGGTTGCGGGCTTGATCTCCAGTATGGGGCATGCTGGAGGCAAACAACCAATGATTCATTACTGATGTTTCTATCTCTCCCTCTCCTTCTCCCTTCCTATCAATAAAAAAATATTTTTTAAAAATGCATGGGAGCTTGATAGGACATGTAACATCAATGCCACAACAATGTATTAAGTCCCCTCAAATTTGAATTTATCACAGCTAAACTCTTCAAATTAGCATACTAAAGGGGAAATATTTTTTTAAAATCTATTTCTTTATTGATTTCAGAGAGGAAGGAAGAGGGAGAGATAGAAACATCGATGAGAGAGAACTGGTTGCCTCCTGCACACCCCCTACTGAGGATTGAGCCCGCAACCCAGGTATGTGTCCTTGGCCAAAATCGAACCTGGGGCCATTCAGTCCGCAAGGTGACGCTCTATCCACTGAGCCAAACAGGCTAAGGCAAGGGGAAATATTTTTGATCTGTTAATTCCAAAATGTGCCCAAAATCAGTTCTCTAGATAATCAACAATCCCAAATTAAAAGTCACTGGATTTGAAAAAGGTCACAACATCACAAAGAATCTCTCTATACCGGATAATTACCATTCATTCATTCAACAAGTTTACTAACGGTTCTTTGGAGGATACACAGAAAAGTGAGTCTCTGTCCTTGCTAAGCTTAATACATAGGAAATAAGGAAAGATAATTTAGTAACAAATTGATTTGAGACTTATTTCACCCTGGTTTTCAAATCTTTACCATGATAGTACTGAATAGTTTCCTTCTTCACCGCACCCCTAGTGGGGATTCCTGTTGGCACTGAATTGGCACCAAAGACCACTGGTTGACATAATGAAAGCCAGACAAAAAGGTGACATAGTGAATAATTTTATTTATATGAAATGTCCAAAACTGGGAAATCTATAAACATGGAGAGTAGATTAATGGTAGCCTATAGCTAGTGAGATGGGAGAATGGTGGGGTGAGACATAAGGGGCACAGGGTTCCCTTTTGAGGTGATGAAATGTTCGAAAATTGATTGCAGTGATGACTGCCTTCATCTGTGCATATACCAAAAATCATCAAATTGTGTACTGTAAATGGGTGGATTATATGGTATGAGAATTATATCTCAATAAATGTTCAAAGCCCTAACCGGTTTGGCTCAGTGGATAGAGCGTCAGCCTGCGGACTCAAGGGTCCCAGGTTCGATTCCGGTCAAGGGCATGTTCCTTGGTTGCGGGAACATCCCCAGTAGGGAGTGTGCAGGAGGCAGCTGATCGATGTTTCTCTCTCATTGATGTTTCTAACTCTCTATCCCTCTCCCTTCCTCTCTGTAAAAAAATCAATAAAATATATTTAAAAAAATAAGAATCATCATTCTCCCCTTTAAAAAAATAAAATAAATGTTAAAAGAAAAAAAACCTTTACAGTAACAAAAGGGAAGAAATGCAGAAAAATTTCAGAACTGGCAAACAGCTATGGACTTCCTCTTCAAATTTTGTTCTTTATCCATTACCTTCTATTCTAGAGCTATCAGATACCCTCATTAAATGCTTCTCTCTCCCACCCTAGCCAATTTTGCTCAGAGGTTAGTGTCAACCCGCAGACTGAGGGGTCTAGGGTTCCATTCCAGTCAAGGGCATGTACCTTGGTTGTAGGCTCGATCCTGGCCCTCGTCAGGGCACATGCGGGAGGCAACCAATCGATGTGTCTCTCTCACATAGATGTTTCTCTCTGTCTTTCCCTCTCCCTTCCACTTTCTCAAAAAAAAAAAAAAAAAAAAAAAAAAATCAATGGAAAAAATAGCCTTAGGTGAAGATTAACAAAAAGCAGCTTCTCTCTCCCTTAATAAGGGTCTGCTCTTTGCCATCAGAGATAGAGCATAGCTGGAGGTAAGGAGGGTAAGAGTAGTAGAAAGCCAAGCTGATTGGATAATCAACAAAAATTGGGAATACTTAATCGGCAAATCCAAAGGGTTTTCTGTGCAATTACTCCCAATACTGATCCCACCAATATCTTACATTACAAGAACAGTATCTAGCTTCACAGAGCCTCTTCCTATGGCATTAGGGAAAAAACTCAAAATTCATCATCCTAAGTCTGAAACACTTTTCCTCAAAACAATCTTAAAAAAGAAAAAGAAATATTTAACTCACAAATCCAAATGTGTTCATCAAGTGTAGCCCTATTACCTGTGAGTTTATTAAACAAGTATAGTTTTACCTACAACTGAGATATCACTATGAACTCACTTTCAAGTCACTTATAAATAATGCTAAATAGGGCCATTTCAGGTAGCAAAACTGAAAATAGCACTATTTACAATTCTGTCCAGAAAAGAAAAATTGCTTTATTACTATTATTTTCTTTTTCCTGTCTTAAAAGTCATTCTCAGTCATTATATAATGTACCTCTACCTTCCTCCTCCAACCTGTCATTGACTGGAATTTTATCAAATCTAAATAACTTATATTCATTTGTTTTCCTATGACCATATTATTTATCACTAGAGGCCCAGTACATGAAATTCGTGCACTCGGGGAGCCTGCAGGGAGTGGGCCTAAGCCATCAGTCAGACATCCTTAGTGCTGCTGCGGAAGCAGGAAAGGCTCCCGCCATCATCAGCCATGAGCCCGGCTTCTTGGGGCCCCGCCCCCCCACCAGTTGCCCCAACCGGCGGGGCGATTGGGGCCCCAGAAGCTGGGCTCACAGCTTCTGGCTGAGTGGCACTCACCCTACTGGAGCACATTAACCACCAGTGGGCAGCTCCTGCATTGAGCGTCTGCCCCCTGGTGGTCAGTGAGCATCATAGCGACTGGTCATTCCACAGTTCAGTCAATTTGCATATTAGCCTTTTATTATATAGGAGGATTTCAAAAATTACAGCCCTGGCCAGGTGGCTCAGTAGGTTGAACATCATCCCATGCACCGAGAGGTCACCGGTTCAATTCCCCATCAGGACACATGTCCTGGTTGCAGGCTCGATCCCAAGTAGGGGGTATATGGGAGCCAGCAGATGGATGTTTCTCTCTCTTTCCCTCTCCCTTCCTCTCTCTCTCTCACATCAATAAAAACATATTTTTTAAAAATTACACTTAAAATTAAGCAGTTTCCCTTTAATTCTATTCTCCCAACCCATATGTTAAGTGTTCAATAACATATTTCTTTACTAAAGATTCCACTTACTCTAAGGATGCACTGAACCTACCAAACAACTAACTAGACCAGTGGTCGGCAAACTGCGGCTCACGGGCCACATGCGGCTCTTTGGCCCCTTGAGTGTGGCTCTTCCACAAAATACCACATGTGGGTGCACATGTACAGTGCGATTGAAACTTCGTGGCCCATGCGCAGAAGTTGATATTTTGTGGAAGAGCCACGCTCAAGGGGCCAAAGAGCCGCATGTGGCTCGTGAGCCGCAGTTTGCCGACCACTAAACTAGAAGCTTCAAAGGAAATTTGGAAGGCTGGATTCAGAACAGTAGTATGGCACATAATGAAAGTGACCAACCCTAAATTCTAAACTCCAAATCCCAGTTCAGCAGCAAAGATCAACCACAAAAGAAAAATGAAGTTGGAATTAATCATAAAAGGATTAAACCATATAAAAAATACTTACATATCGATGGAACTGTGTGAAGGACTGAATCATGTAGAATCGATGCATGTATACTATAGCAGTGTTGATAGTCAATTGTGAGCTTTAAATATTCAAGTTAAGGCCCCAAACCAGGCAGGCAGTACAATTCCCAAAAGTACAATCTTTCTATTCTCCCAAAATGACCACGCAAGCTGAGCACAGCAGATACTCCCAAATGAAAATATTTACCTCTCCATCAAATTATTAACTACCAATTGACACTTAGTACACCTTAAACATAACAGTTATTCACTACAAATTTACTGAATAAACAAGCAAGCTTCTTAGCATGTGTGAATCAAGAAGGGACATAAACAAAATTACACAAGTCCTAAACCCATCACTTGCCTACTGAAAATGCTGCAATGGTGATTCATTAGCTCAGGACCTCTCCTCACATGATTTACAACACCCTCCCTGACCTGGCCCTAGAGATATGGCTTAACTTTTAAACTTTAGCAATTTTTTCAGTTCTACTTCTCTCTGGCAACCAAGCCTTCTCATAAGGTGATCCCTGGGATCAAAAATACTGTGGAATGATTTTATATTCAATCACTGACAAAATGTTAAATACCTTATTTCTAAAGACCTCAGAAGACAATGTGGGGTATACAGAATGAGGCCGTCTCATATTGTCAACAACCTTAATAACAACACACATATAAAAAGGAAAGGGCTAGGATGCAACGAAACAGAATTTCAAACAAGATGTTTAACTCAGTACACTGACTGGGTGCTTAAAAACACAATGGATATTGGCAAGAAAGAGAACACCTCTTTTGAAGTGAGCACTTAAAACATAAACGTTCAGCAACACATTTAAGTGGAAGGTGCACGCAAGGACAGTTTTTCACTTTCAGAATGAAAAGAACTTTAAAACTATTTTAGCCTTTTCTGCTACAAAATGAGTATATTTTCTGACCAAATGCTAGAATTGACCTGTTCTTTTTGGGCCCATCCGTGCACGAGGCCCCACCGATGGACCAGGTGGCCATAGCAAGGGTGCACCCTGGTAGCTAGCACCTGCATTTGCACCCTGGTAGCAGGGGTGGTGCTGACCCAGTGCATGTTCACCTTCAAGAGGAAGACACGGCAGATGACGAAGATCATCAAGATGCCTATATCCAAGCCCTGCATCTCTGGATATTGCTTACCACCTATGCTATTATTCTAGACAAATTCAAGGACAGAAAAACTCAAGAATGCCCTAAGGAAGATTGGGTAACCAAGAAATTACTAAGATTCTGCTACACATGTGAAAATGATGCCAGAATTCCTGAAAAGTTCAGTTCACATGGAGACTCCTACAAGAGTAGAAGAAATTATGTGGCCTTATCAAAGGAGGAGCTGTCAATTTTCAGATTAACAGACTTTGAATTGACACTAAGTTTTCTTACATAGGAGAAAGATGTTCAATATGTCATAATGTCATTGACAACTGCTAGCTGGTTTCAGATGAATGTCGAAGTTACTGCAACTAAAGAGAAAATATTATGCTATTGCAATTGATCCTGTTCTGCCCAGCCTTGTCTCAGTGGCTGAGCGTTGACCTATGAACCAGGAAGTCAAGGCTCGATTCCCAGTCAAGGCACATGCCAGGGTTTGCAGGCTCAATCTCCAGTGTGGGGCGTGCAGGAGGCATTCGATCAATGATTCTCTCTCATCATTGATGTTTCTCTCGCTCTCTCCCTCTCTCTTCCTCTCTGAAATCAATAATCAATATATTTTTAAAATCAATATATTTTTAAAATCAATATATTTTTTAAAAAAAGAAAGAAAAATTGAGCCTGTTCTTACCATAGAAGAGTAGTACTCTTATGTTATAGAATGGTAAACTAAATGACATGGTTTGTGGAATAGGTTTCATCAAAACCTAAAGAAACTGACAGAATCTGACGTTATGCTCAAGGAACATGAAAATTTCTCTGATAAGTTCCAACATAGTATACCTGTGTTCATATTTTTGGCTGGTATCAGTATGTACTAGAGATTATCCATCAAGTTGGTGTTTATTATCCAAATGTGATAGTGTCCAACTTCATGGATTTTGATGACAATGGGGTACTCAAAGGATTTAAAGGAGAATCAATTCATGTATTTAACAAACATAATGATGTCTTAAAGAATTCAGAATATTTCAATCAATTAAAAGACAATAGCAATATAATTTGTGTGAGAGACGCCCAGGGACACTTAAGGCAGATACGTAGCCAATGTTGAATACATTCTGAAAAATCGGTATCTAAGTGAACGAGGGGATGCACTTTTAGAAAAGCACATGGACTCTAATGATATTGTTCTAATAAAAGACAAATCATTGGAGGGGGCCAACTCTAACTTACAAAAAGATTCTGTAAATAAGCATTCTTCAAGAAGACCTCTCTCCTCAGGATGAAATTGATGCAAGAACTGTGCATTTGTTCACCTTGCTGAAAGACTTTTATTTATAATATATTCTTGCTTTGCAAGTTTTTCTCTACATTACTGAATTATTTTCAAACACATGGAGTCCATCAACTGGAAGCTCCTTTTTCTCACGTCTCTCTACACACTCCTCACCATATTTTTTAACATTTAAAAAAAAATCTTCCTTTTTGTCTGACATCTTAGCAGCCTTGTAGCAGCTGCTCTTTAAGTTTTGCTATGCCACCCAAGGTCAACAATAAAGATAATGGAAAGTCAGCCAAGAAAGACAAAGACCCAATGAACAAATCTGGGGGCAAGGCCAAAATTAGACGTGGTCCAAAGGCAAAGTTCAGGACAAGTTCAATAACCTAGTCTAGTCTGACAAAGCAACATTATAACAAACTGTAACAAAGTTCCCAACTATAATAAGCTTATAAGCCCAACTGTTTCCCTTGAGAGACTGAAGATCCACAGTTCCCTGGCCAGGGCAGCCTTTCAGGAGCTCCTTAGTAAAGGACTTATTAAACTAGTTTCAAAGCACAGAGCTCAAGTAATTTACACCAGAAACACCAAAGGTGGGGATGCCTCAGCTGTTGAAGATGCATGAACAACAGGCCCCACCAGCTGCGTATTTTGAAAAATAAACTATTAAATCAGGGAGAGGGGATATCTTAAAGTTAAAATTTGAAAAATAACTCTCTATTTCCAAAGAGCATTTTGTAGTTAATGTTATCATGATGTTTTTGAGGAGTCTCTTTACACTGGGAAAGTTTGTAGAAGTTTAGAAAGTTTTATGAAATGGTGAAATAATGTGTATGATTTTTAAGTATAGCCATTTTTGTAATTTGTGTGAATTATGCTGATGGTATCTCCAGCTACTAAAATTGTGTTATTTTGGTTAATTTGTTTCAGGAAAATTGATAATTACCAAAAAATACTGGTACTTGATGTTTGAAAAAACTGTTGGTATCCACATGTCACTAATCATGATTAAATGTTTTGTATCAAAGTTCTGATAATAAATATGAAATGAAAAGCCAAAAAATGCTTGGAGGAAAAAAATCACTATATTACCTCATCTTTGAAATATGAGAAAAACAAATACACATCAGCACTGAGTATCTTAAAACCCCAACTTTTTTTTTAATCTCTAGAGAATTTTTGTAAGAATTTATTTGAGCCAAACAGGATATGCCGGAAAGTAAGGTCTCAACATGACTCAGAAAAATGCTTTCAAAAACCCAATATTTTTCAACGTTTTTTTAAACCGTTAGATCATTGGGTCTACATCCCTACAAATCTTAACTGGCATCCCCCCTTCCTCTGAAATTCTATGAAACTCTAACAGTAGCTACTATTTGAACTTGAGTGTCAAGTATTGAGTAGGCCATTGAAATTAAATGCAAGAATTATCACCCCATTTTACAGAGAACACCAAGAATTTGACAGCTTTCTTAGAGAGGTAAGTGGGAAGAAGAAACTTTGAACCAAAGCTGGGCATTCATTCTAGGCCACCCTTTATAAGACCCTCAGGTCATGAATTTCTCAAAATTCTCTATACACACTAAATTCAAGACGCAGTCATCAACGCTAAAACCTCCACCAGAGCCTAGGCCCTAGGGCATAGCAGAAAAGCATAATCTCAAAGTCACCAGAACAGGCGATCAGAACACACCGAAAATGGCCTAAGAACGGCCGGTTAAAACATAAAGCCGGGAAGCACACGAATTCCCGGCAAGGTTGGTGGCACCGGTGAGCGAGCGGGAAATTAATTCCGCCTCGCCTCCCTCGCGCGAACACTGAACTTTCAGCCTGCCCCACCGCAGTCTCTCCCACCCGACATCAGCCCCTGCCCACCCTCTCCCCACTTCCGTCCCTCAGAGAGCCTGGGGCCTGGACGCGAGAGCCAGGCGGGACTGATTCCAAGGCCGAAGGCCTAGGCCGCAAGGATACACATAAAGACGTTGCCCCATGTCCTGGAGCAGATTGGCCGCCTGCTGACGATAAGAAAGTTCTTTATCTGGGTCCAGCCCAAAGCGACGGGATGGGCTATTTTCCAGCTGTTCTCGAGTAAAATACCACCGTTTGTTGTTCTTTCTCTCTTCCTCCATAGTGCTCCAACCAGAAGGCAGCGGCGAAGGCTGCAAGCGCTTCCCAGCGTCACTTAAGCGGCGACACACATCCGCTGTGCGGAGGCAACTGCGCCGTGACGAACTTCCGCTAAGAATGGCCGGATAGGTTGTGACACGCTTCCGCCGAGGAGAATAGTTGAAGGGTCTACTTCCTTAATGGATCACGCGACAGCCAGTAACCAAGTAAACAGCCAATAGGCGAGCAGGAAAGACCTCGGGGTGGGGACGCGAGTGCCCGTCATGTGACTCTTGGAGGGAGGGTGAGGTTAAAAGTTTTCGTTCAAAACCACGTCCCCTCTCGCGAGAAGTAGGCTGAGCATTCGCGCCCTGCGCGAGAGGGTGAGGCAATGTTTGTGGCGGGATTAGGCGCCCGCCCACGCGCCGCTCCGTGGCTTCTCGGAGAATTTTGTTTGTGGCGGAGGTGGCGGTATAAAATGGGGCAGATGGAGAACTTGACAGAGAAAATAGGTGAGACTGACAAAAACTAAAAAAGTGATCATAGTGGCCCTATCGTATATCGTAACGTGAAGCAACTGGAAGCTCTCACATTATTGATAACAATGTAAATTACGCATTTGGGACGCTAAAGCCTTGAATGCATTCTTAGCTTCTCCACAGTGATCCTTAAAAGAATAAAACGAATAAAGTCGCTTTCCTTGATTCAACTCCTGTCACTCAACTTATTGGCTGTCATGCAGCACGCAGAACTAGTTTTCACTCAATTACAATAATACTTTGAGTTTTGTTTATTTCTAGATATGGCTGTTCCAATGCAGTAAGTTTAGTTTAGTTTAGGTCATTCTCAATTATTTCCTTCCATTCCAGGCCCTATCTGCCATATACTGCCTGCAGTAAGCCTTAGCTCTGTTTTACTCCAGAAAAATTGAGATTCAGAAAGATGTAAATTACATCAGGTTATATAACATTCAAAAAAATAATTATTTCAAACTTCCATCATCATAGACTTTTTTTCTTTTAATAGAATAAGCACTTTTCCAGTTATGTAGTCATGTATGTTGTTTTTTAAAAGTCAAATTTATTTCTCCCAGATCCCTCTTTCCTATTTCTCTGACCTGTGTTTGGTTCTCCACTTAATCTCTTGGATCAGCGATTTTCAACTGATGTGCTGCAAGAATCTTTAAAACATGCAATACAGGCACTGGCCTCTTTTCCCTTTCAGTGGTTCTCAACCTTCTGGCCCTTAAATACAGTTCCTCATGTTGTGACACAACCATAAAATTATTTTCATTGCTACTTCGTAACTGTAATGTTGCTACTGTTATGAATCGTAATGTAAATATCTGATATGCAGGATGGTCTTAGGCGACCCCTGTGAAAGGGTCGTTCGACCGCCAAAGGGGTCGCGACCCACAGGTTGAGAACCTCTGCTTTAGATTGCCAAATAAGAGAATCACAACAGCCAACACAACAATAAGCCGTCTGGTATGAATGAATCAATTATACCTTTTTTGTTAGATTGGCCAAAAATATATAAATATTTTCTGGTGTGCTACAGAATTTTAGTAATTAGTTTGTGTGCCATGAGGTGAAAAGTTGAAAATCGCTGTGTTAGATTGGTGACTCCATTTTGAATTTGCTATCCTGGTTGAGTATGCTAGTCTTCCAAGAGAAGTTCTGGTATCTGTAAGGCTTCAGGCAATGCACCTGCTAACCAATGGCTTGCTACCCTGCCATACAGAAGAGGAGGACCGTGTAAATCAGAGAAAAGAAATATTCCTTGGCTGAAGATCAAATTACTTGAAAGTAGGCAGCAGATAACATAATTGATAAAGGTGACTTTTTGTGTCAGGCCAGAATCCAAATCCCAGCTATTCAATTTTTTTAAAAAAACCATCTTAACCATGTTTTAGATTTATTGATTTTAGAGAGAGAGAGAGGACGGGAAAGAGCGAAAGAGAAACATTAGTGTATGTGCCCTGACCGGGGATTGAACCCGCAACATTGATATATTTGGATGATGCTCTAACCAACTGAGCTACCTGGCCAGAAAATCATTTTTAAGTGTACATGTCAGTAGTGTCAACTATATTCACATTATTATGTAACTGGTCTCTACAACTTCTTCATTTTGCAAAACTGAAATTCTGTACCCGTTGAACAAGTCCTCATTTCCCCCTCTGCCTAGCCCCATTCTACTTGCTGTTCTTATGAGTTTAACTACTTTAGATACATCATAGACATGGAATCATACAGTATTTGTCTGTCTGTGACTAGCTTATAGCATTATACTAAGTCTTAGTATAATGACCTCAAAATTCCAAGCTACTCTTTTAACCAGCTGTGTGATCTTAAATGTCATCTATGCATACTGTCAGAACACCTGACACATAGTAGGTATTCGATACATGTTTATGGTCAAAATAATGTTAACCCTCTGGTACGTTGCCCTTAAAGAACAACTGACAAATCTTAAGCCAGAGGAATTTTTTGTTGTTGAATAGGACCCCTTTTTCTGTAAATCATACCTATAAGGCTACTCTTCTTACTCACTAGACTGATCTTGTACAGGATTATACCATATTTCATGGTTTAATCTTATTTTGCTGTGCTTAGGAATGTCATATTTCAGTTGTGTCAAATATTACCATTTACTACAGATAAAACAATTTCTCCCAACATTCTTATAGTCTCCAAATTAAAATATGAAAAGATGGTGTTCTCTTCCAAACTATCCCTAACTCCACATTCAGTAATGTCATGATAGCTTGAAATTGGCCAAGGTGTGTATGTGCTGATAAATTATTAACAGCCAGCTACCCAGAAAAGTAATTGTAAGTATATGTATACGTACATAAAGTTTATTGTAAAAATTACTGATATAAAGGATGGGTAGCACACAATTTATAAAAAATAAAGTATGCAATCTTATTTATAGCCAACTGGTTCTCACAGAATGCTTTCAGTGAGTTTTACCAAACTCTTTGAATCAAGAACCAACCTATGATTGCATTTGACAAATGAGTATAGCTTTGACTATTGGTTGACATTTTCATTTGCATTATTCAATAAGATGAAAGTGAAACAATGAGACTTATGTTGGAACTTTACTTATTTATCAGTGACTTGAGCAATGTCTTTGCTGAATTGGATAATAGTTTTGAATACTGGAAGAATATTTCAATTTTTGTGCTATTTATAATGTAATGGCCCCAAACATGATACACTTTTAAACTTAATCTACATAATTAAAGTTTCCTCTACACTTTCTTAACTCTAGTCAGTCAATAAAACAATAAATTAAGTCTTTGTCTGTAGCATTTGCCAATTTCTGTAGTGTTACCTCCCACCACGGCCAATTTCAAGCTACCAATGTGACATCACTGATCATGAAATTGGAAAGAGATGAACACACAATCACATAGTATACTCACCATGCAGAGAAAATAGACAGGGACCTCTGGTTTCCAGTCTGATGTGTAAAGAGCTTGGAAATCATCACTCCTCACAACCAAACAAAAAGGCTGAACTGAAAATCAATAATTCTTCTTAAATGCCGGAAGCCAGTCCATCCTTGCTGCTTGACACAGTCGCTGCAGGGAAGAAACATCTGCACAGCATACATTTCAAGGGACCTGGCATATATGGCATACTGTTTTTAATATGTTTGCTCCCCTTCTTGGCACTATGTGTTTTAACCAAGGTCACCTCTCCAAGAAAGGTTGTTTCCCCAGGTAGGGATTTTTCCCTGAAGTTAGGGAGGGAATAAAACCCCTTAACTAAGTGCCAGGCTGGTAGTTAATCACTTTAACTACGAACAATCACGCTTAAGCTACATAATCTTTACTCCCTGGAATGGAGATAAGAAACACCCTAACCTTTGGAATAGAAATTGATAGGATTAAAATCAACTGGTATACTGGAGAGCATTATGCTAAGTGAAATAAGCCAGTCAGAGAAAGATACCCTCCCCCGGTGATCTCACTCATTTTGTGGGAATATAGAGAAA